TGATGTATTTTTCCTTTGATGAATATGAAGTGCCCTTCTTCATCTCTTTTGATTGATTTTAATTTGAAGTCTAATTTGTTAGATATTAGGATTGCTACGCCCGCTTGTTTCTTGGGACCGTTTGATTGGAAGACCTTTTCCCAACCCTTTACTCTGAGATAACGTCTGTCTTTGATGTTGAGATGTGTTTCTTGTATGCAGCAGAAGGAAGGGTTCTGTCTTCGTATCCATTCTGCTAGTCTGCGTCTTTTTATAGGCAAGTTGAGGCCGTTGGCATTGAGGGATATTAATGACCATTGATTGGTGATCCTTGTTTGCGCTTGATTTATTGTTAGTGAAGTTATTTTGTGTAGTTTCTCCTCCCTTTTTCTTTTGGTGTTTTGTAAAGTATGATTATATATTGCCTGTGTCTTTGTGAATGTAGTTATCTTCCTTGGCTCTAGGTTTTCCTTCTAGCATTTTCTGTAGAGCTGGATTCATGGATACGTATTGTTTAAATCTGGCTTTGTCATGGAATATTTTGTTTTCTCCATCTATGGTAATTGAGAGCTTTGCTGGATATAGTAGTCTGGGCTGGCATCCTTGTTCCCTTAGGGTTTGTAGGACATCTGACCAGGATCTTCTCGCTTTCATCGTTTCCATTGAGAAGTCAGGTGTAATTCGGATAGGTCTGCCATTGTATGTTACTTGGCCTTTTTCTTTAGCTCTTAATATTTTCTCTTTACTCTGTAGGTTTGATGTTTTGATTATTATATGGCGAGGTGCCTTCTTTTTCTGGTCAAGCCTATTTGGTGTTCTGTAAGATTCTTGTACTTTCATAGGCATATCTTTCTTTAGGTTAGGGAAGTTTTCTTCTATGATTTTGTTGAATATGTTTTCTGTACCTTTAAGTTGAATTTCTTTACCTTCTTCTATACTATTATTCTCAGGTTTGGCTTCTTCACGGTGTGCCATATTTCCTGGATATTTTGTGTTAAGGATTTGTTGGTTTTGAGATTTTCTTTGGTTGACGACTCTATATCCTCTAATGAGTCTTCAACACCTGAGATTCTCTCTTCTATCTCTTGTATTCTATTGGTGATACTTGCATCTGTAGTTCCTGATCTTTTACCCAGCTTTTCTATTTCCAGCATCCCTTCATTCTGTATTTTCTTTATCGTTTCTATTTCAGCCTTCAATCCTTCAACTTTTTGAGTTGTTTCCTTCATTTTTTTTTTGGTTGTTTTTTCTTGGTGCTCTTTAGATTCTTTGAGAGATTTGTTTATTTCTTGAATTTTCCCCCCCCCATTTCATGGATTTTTTTGTTTGTTTTTTCTTCTATTTCTTTAAGGGATTTCCTCGTTTCTTCTTTGAGCGTCTCCATCATCTTCATGAAATAATTTTTAAGGTATGTCTCTTCTTCACCTATGTAGTGCTTTTCGGGTCTTGCTGGTGTTGGATCCCTAGATTCTGGTGGGGACATGTTGGTCTTTCTATTGCTGAGTGAACTCTTATTCTGTCTTCTTCCCATCTCTTCTTCCAGTGGGTGCTGGTGGGGTCTTTCCGTTTCCACTGGTCTCCTTCCTTCCTGAAGTTGAAGCTGGGGATGCTGACACAGAGTTTGGGGCCTGGAAGGGCTGATGTCTTTCCTGAAGCTGGGCTCGCTGGAGTTTGGGGCCTGGAAGGGCTGATGTCTTTTCTGAAGCTGGATTCGGTTGGGTTTGGGGCTTGGAGGGACTGATGTCTTTCCTGTGTGGGCAGGTCTTCTGGATGCCAGGAGCGGTCCCGGAAGATCAAGGGGATGGGTGTTGGGCGGGGGGTCCCCGCCAGAGACCCAATCTCACCTGAAGCTCCAGCAGTTTTTACTAGGCTTGTACAGCAAGCACTTTCCCAACTGTCCTGGTTAGATTTTTTTGTTTGTTTGTTTGTCAATGCAACACAGGCAAGGATTATGTGGGAAGTGAGACCATTAGTTGAGATGCCTATTAGATTGAACCAAAGAAGAATCTGCGGGGGCGTTTTCTTGATTAATGTCTGATGTGAGAGGGTCCAGGCTCCTGTGAGCAGTGCTGCCCCTTGGCAGGTTGTTAAGAGAAGCTTTTTCCTTGAGAAGGAGCCGTTCCGCCAGCCTGGTTCCAGAGCTGCTTTCCCGCCAGCCTGGTTCTAGAGCCGTATCAGTCCGAAATAAACACACAGGAGGCTATATTAATTATGAAGCTGTTGGCCTTGCTTGTCTCTTACTGGCTAGCTCTGACTTAAGTAATTACCCCATAATTGTTAATCTAAGTATTTCTCTTACCGGAGAGGTTTCTGGGCTTCCTCCCCAATGGCGTTACATCTCGAACTCTTGTGTTTCTCCTTCCCAGAATCCTCCTGGACTCCTAGTCCCTCCTATCTAGATTCCCTATTGGCCAGACAGTGCTTTATTACAGAGCCTCTCAATATAGTCACGGATTCTCAGTATGCAGAAAGAGTTGTCTTGCACATTGAGACTGCAGAATTTGTTCCTGATAATACAGAATTAACCTCATTGTTTTTACAATTGCAGGAAATCATCAGAAACAGGACTCATCCTATATATATAACACACATCAGATCCCATACAGGTCTACCAGGTCCTCTGGCACAAGGCAATGATGAAATTGATCATTTATTAGTAGGTAATGTGTTGGAAGCTTCAGAATTTCATAAGAAACACCATGTTAACAGCAAAGGTTTAAAGAAGGATTTTTCTATCACCTGGCAACAAGCCAAAGAAATAGTAAGAAATTGTCCCAGTTGCTCATTGTACAATCAAACTCTATTACCAGCAGGTTGTAATCCTAAAGGTGTTCACAGAAATGAACTATTGCAAATGGATGTATTTCACTCCCCAGAATTTGGCAGTTTGAAATATATACACCATACTATAGACACGTTCTCAGGCTTCCAATGGGCTACTGCCCTCAGCTCTGAAAAAGCTGACTCTGTTATTACACACCTCTTAGAGGTGATGGCTGTTATGGGTATACCTAAAACAATAAAAACTGACAATGGTCCAGCATATGTCTCCAGTAAATTGGAACAATTCTTCAAAGATTATAATATAAAACATGTAACTGGTATACCTTACAATCCCACAGGACAAGCAATAATTGAAAGATCTAACCGAACCTTAAAAGAGATGCTTCATAAACAGCCAGGGAAAACAAAGACACCTAAACACAGGTTACACAATGCTTTACTAACGTTGAATTTTCTTAATGCTGATGAAAAAGGACAAACTGCAGCAGAAAGACACTGAACTACAGAGAAGACTTCTGAACTGAACCAACCGGTGTATTTTAAGGATGTTATGACCTCAGTCTGGAAACCAGGATATGTGTTACATTGGGGAAGGGGTTATGCTTTTGTTTCCACAGGAGAAGAAAAGGTTTGGGTTCCATCAAAATTAATTAAAATTTGATCAGAACAGAAAACATCTCAGGAGGAGGAAGATAACAGCCCATCTACAAATTCATAGTCCAACATGGGTAAAGTGACCTCCTAAAAGGAAAGAGAAGTGTTTTGTTTTTTGTCTTCACAGGTAAACTCAGCAAAGAATACTGGACATATGGGTTCCTGAAGAAGAATGAATAGCTACCCTGAGGACCATCAAACAAACAGTAACTCACTGTGGTATCAAAGTCTAAATCTCTCTATATTGTGTTTTCATAGTACCCTTTTATCTTTATTTCTTCACATACCTCAGTTCCCATTCATTTAACTGAAGCTGGCTTTGGAGTTGGATTGGCTCTCCTACTCTAAACTCAAGCATATTATTTAAATACGATTCAGAATTTCTGTATTATATCAAAAGAGCCATTGATATAAGACAGAAGAAATAAAATGAGGGACTGTTATCTGTGGATTTCTTTTTCTGTAAAGTCTAATTTCCTTCTGGTTTACCATCTTCCCTATTGTCACCTCTTCTGTATGCATACATATGAAAGTTAAAATATTTCTTTGTTAACATTAATGTTTGAGTTTTTCCAGAGAACAAGGGATTGCCTGACAGCAATCTTCAACTGCTTCCGAAAGAGAATGAGGATCCACTTCCTTGACTTCACCTGATTCGACTGGAGGCATCTGAACTGCCCCACATCATTGACTCCACCTGACAAGCACTATCCTGAAACTGGCTTGAAACTACATCACTCTACACAACTCCGGATCAAGAAACTGAAACAGCACAGATTCTACAATCTGGCCAGAGCTTCAGATGAGAGCTTCAATCAACACTAGAAAACCAGTCAGGAACTTCAATCAAGCATCTCCTGCCATACAGAGACTGTCTGATCTACTGAGATTTTGTTATACTAACATTTTCTTTTCACAGGTCCCCATGAGATTATCATCGTCCCATCTCAGCAGGAAGTAGTTTTGAGAATTCCACGCCCCCTCTCCCTACTATTGATATTATAAGATAGTTTACACCTGTTAGTGTTAGTTTTCAATTATTTTAGAGTTGGGATTGGAAGGAGGTGTTCATATTTGGGTGTTTCTTTCAGATAAGTTTAGGTAGATAGAATAGATGTTTGATACATTTTGTTCATGGACACAAGTTAGTTGTCCTTTTTAGACTAAAAGGGGAATTGTAGGAGGAAGTCTGATGCTGCCATTAAACATGTGACTTATTAGAGGCGCATACAGATGAGGTAATAAAAGGGCGGTTTACCACAACGCTAACCACACCCACTTTAGGCAGGACTAAAGACGTATATGGCTGGACGTAAAGACGTATACATACGTAGGTGGAACTACGTCACTAGCCATGCCCACTTTGGGCATGGCTAGGGGGCGTTACGGGGGGAAGGCATAAAAGACAGCACACAGGAAGTCTCGCTCTCTTTTCCTGGAGTTCGGCTTCCGATTTGGCAGCTGAAGACTACTTGGCTCCTCTGGGTTTGGTATCTTGTGAGTAATTTCTACATTAAATACTTAGCTTTACTTTCCGTAATTGTGTGTTGTGTATCGTTACAGCGTCCATTGAAGCGTACAGCAGGTGGTCCTGGTTTGTATAAAAAAGCAAAGCAAGCTGTGGAGAGCAAGCCAGTAAGCAGCATCCTCCATGGTCTCGGCTTCAGTTCCTGCCTCCGGGTTCCTGCCTTGACCTCCTTCTTGTAGACTGACCAGTAAGCCAAACAGACATTCCAATGTTGCTGGAGTTCCTTCCATCTTGGTCCCACCTCTTCTGTCCCAAATGAACACACAGATGCTATATTAATTATAAAATTCTTGGCTGGTGTTTAGGGCTTCTTATTGGCTAGCTCTGTCTTAATTATTAGCCCATAACTACTAATCCATGTATTTCTACATGACCTTTTCTTATCAGAGAATGCCTGGTGTGTCCTATCCTCCCAGTCTCTACATAGCATCTCTTCAAAGTCTCTCTCTGTCTACCTTTCCCAGAATTCTCCTCATCTCCTAGTCCTGCCTATCTTCCTGCCTTTATTGGCCAAATAGTGTTTTATTCATCAACCAATAAGAGAAACATATATACAGAAGGACATCCCTCATAATTCCCACATTACTTTTGGTTACAGATTTTTAATACAGTAATAGAAAGCAAACTAAGACACGGCCTGAGTCATCTCTCCAATTTATGCTTCCTCCTCTAGCCTAGGCTAGCCTGGAATTCACTATGTAGCCTAGGCTGGCCTTGAACTTATGTCAGTCCTCTTGCCATGCTGGGATTATAGGTATTGGCTGCCATGTTTGGTTCCAAGTTCTTATTTTTATTGCCTCCTAGGCTCTTATCTTCATTTCTGTCATTAAGAATATTTCCTCAGACTTCCACTGTGAGGGATAACTTTATGTCAACCTGACACAAACTAAAGTCATTTAAGAGAAGGGAACTTCAAGAAAGTGCCTCCATAAGACCGGGCAGTAGGCAAACCTGTAAGTCATTTTCCTAATTAGTGAATGGTGGGGGATGACCCCACCCATTGTGGGTGGTGCCATCCCTGGACTGGTGGTCCTGGTTTTATGAGAAAGCAGGCTGAGCAAGCCAGTAAGCTATACCTTTCCATGCCCTCTATAAGAGCTCCTGCTTCCAGGTTCCAGACCTGTTTCAGTTCCTATCTTGACCTCCTTCATTGGTAAATGTCAACATGGAATGATAAGCCAGATAAATCCTTTCCTCTGCAACTTTCTTTTTGGCCACAGTGTTCCATTTCAGCAATATAATCCCTAACTAAGACATCCACTATTTTGAAACCAGAGAGTAGAATATGGTTTATTTTTCTACCTTTTATCTTACCTATTATCAAGTCTTACCCTTTTGAACTATGTAATTATGTTTTTAAATTTTACTTTTATTTTTAATTAACTTGTCAAGCAGCAGGTCCCCTCATGGCATTTAATTGTTTTTGTATTGCATTATGTTAATACTCGACATCACTTTATGTTACTGTGCTACAGTATGGCATTCAGAAGCTCCCTTATTGGCTCTCATGCTCTCTTCCCTGGAGATGAGCCCGAATCCTAGCACCTCTGCTTACTAGTACCAGCTTCCCTTCCCTCTAACCTACGACACATACAGTGATGGCTCGAAATCAGCCTCTATTTTAATAGAATCAAAAATACTTAGGATTTTCTTATAAAACAGGAATCCATGTTCAAAGTTCTCCTTTGGGGGAGAAACTTCTGCCTTGCCCACAGGAAACAGTGGTTATCTGATGACTAAGACTGGGGAGGGCTCGTTGTTTAGTGAAGGTCCAACCTTTTCTTTTCTCACTTACTGCTTTTACCAAGTGTCCTCACACAATGAGAGCCCTGCTTAGCTGCTGCGTAGGTGATGGTTCGTTGGGGAGAAAGGTCCGTGAATTCTCAGGGGCCGTATCCAGTCTGAGCACATGCTCCTTCGGGTTTTCTGCCACTATTCCCGGTTATTTACTCTGCTTGCACACGGTATTAACGCTATTATTTGTGAGTCCTACTTCTTTTTATCTGCCTGGCAGGTTTCTACATTAACACAATATTCTGTTTTTCTGGGTCCCTTTATCTTCTTCCCAGTGACCTTTTCTTGTCCTTTGTCTCAAACTTGGCATTCTTCTCGATTTGACTTGCGTTTCTTTTTGGCTGAGACTTTTACGACTAGCCCTGTCCTCATTACCCTTTATTTCTCGAAATATCTCTCACATGTTTTCAGTCTGGCTGTTTACATGAATTTAAACTTGCTGTGCTCAGACATCATTTGTATGATTCCTTGTATGGGTATCGGCATTAACTAATGCTAGCTAGGTAAGTATTGCTGATCGATAGATGTACTTTTCTTGTCTGGCGTACAGTTCCCAAATTCAAGGAGAAAGCACTTTCTATATTGTGTCATGTTTAACAAATGTTACTTTTTCTTATAAATTGTTTGCAGGGGGTGGGAAACTGTATTAGTCCCTTGATTTGGAAAGGTCTAGTTGGTAGAGCTTTTACCACTATCCAGCAATCAGTAACTGACCTGTTTTGAAAATACTAACAGGACCTTGGCTTTCTGGGGAAACTTGACATTTTCAAAGTAGGGTCAGGACTGTGGGAAAATCAGATTTATTTGGTCAGCTTGCTGCCTTGAATGATGTTTAGTTGGGGAGAAAGGTCCGTGAATTCTCAGGGGCCCTATCCAGTCTGAGCACATGCTCCTTCAGGTCTCCTGCCAGCATCCCCGGTTACTTACTCTGCTTGCACACGGTATTGACGCTATTATTTGTGAGTCCACTGTATTTACTCAGCTGCCTCTATTCTGTCTGTCTCCTGTTATCTTTCTAAGTCTCTGTCGTAGATTGCCAAGTTGCAGGAAACCTGTTTGCTCTTTTTTGCGATACAGCATGGGGCCTGAAAGAGGTGCTTAAATGTGGATATCCCCCCAAGGACTTCAGTATATCAACCCAGCTTCCTTTTCACCTAAGTATGGTGGGGGACTCCTAGATTTATCCTGAGAGTGGGGTGACTGTCATAAACTCTTAGAGGGTTATAGCCTCTCCTATGCTAAGGGATTGGTTTGAGCTGGTAATATGCACAGGTTGGTAGCATTTGCATTGCGTTGTCTGCCAAGGAAGGATTAGGGAGAGAGAAACAGGATCTTTTCTCAGAGCTTAGAAAACAATGTGCTTTCTTTGATGTAGTTGAGGCAAATTAAAGTCATTTCTCTTGTGTTTGCTTTTCATGCATAAATAAAATATAAGTCCTTTAACTAGTAGCCAGATACAAGGACATACCCTGGTTTTGCATTTACATTCTGAGCTCATAATGAAAACGCATAATGGCTTTTCACCTCATTGTATCCCTCATAACTTTGGGACAGCATCTGGAAGGTTCGTCATAAATAATCCAGATAAATAAACTTCAGATGTTCATGTCACATTCTGTGATTACAATTCAAGGACATCAAGTTCTAAGAGGAGATCATAGATTGTGGAGGTGTAGTTTTACAAGTTCCAAACTTTGAAGCTGACAGAAGGTGAGAGGGTGGTGGGCCCTCAGGCTGTGTACCAAGCTCCATCCCAAAGTAATGTTTACTTTGTGGGGTGTTTTCTGACTGGGCATTATTAGTCTTATCAGATAAAGGAAAAAGCCAGGATGCTTTTATATCCAGAATAACTGGATAGGCATCTTTGGGTTTAATCTTTGTGGAGATTTGTTAACTCCTAGACTTCTAGTTCTAAGAGAGAGAGAGAGACAGAGACAGAGACAGAGACAGAGAGACAGAGACAGGGAGACAGAGAGAGACAGAGAGACAAAGAAACAGAGACAGGGAGACAGAGAGACAGAGAGACAGAGAGAGGCAGAGACAGAGACAGAGACAAAGACTTGGTCAAAACTAGCTTGAAGTAAGAATGGATTTGGTGAAATTATGAGGAGACAGAAAACCTGGAATCCCCATTAAATTCAGAAACGTATTAACCAGAGAATAAATGATAATACATTTAGTGAATTTTGCATTTAGAACATTATATTCATATGAAAATTCCTTCTTTCCTTCCTCCCTCCTTCCCTCCCTTCTTCCCTTCCTTTCTCCTGTCCGTCCTGCTTTCATCCCTGTCATAAACATCATCCATTTTTGCAGGTTCTTGGGCTTGTAGAGGCAATGACCTGTAAATGCATATGGGGATGCAAGGGTGATTTATTGGAGTTAGGGAGAGAAAACAACAGGGTAGCCAAGCTAGGAATGTTGGGTCAAGGGAATGGAAAGAAGAGTGAGAAGGAAAGGGATGTGTTTTGAGTTGGAAGTCAACGAGTAGACAGTCTTAGCAGTAGAGGTGTGTGCACAGCTGTCCTCTGTGTGTGTGTGTGTGTGTGTGTGTGTGTGTGTGTGTGTGTGTGTGTGTCTGTGTGTAGGTTGGGGTGCTTTGGAAAGAGTGAGTGAGAGTACTTTGGACTCACGGGCCAGCAGACTTAGGATTTTAGTAGGGGCCAGGAGAAGGGAGATGGGAAGAGGAGGAAGAAGCTTTCTGAGCTGGAACTCAGAGTTGGCCGGCTCTGCACACAACTGCAGAGTGGGTTCTTCCATATTATATGAGCACATATGTATCTCATTGAGGGGACAATTATTTCTCCTGTTTTTTCCATGTTGTCTTCATGTATATTATATTTCACCTTCCAGCTTTCAACTGGTTTCCTTTAGGCTGCAAAATAGGATTTTTCTCCTTGATATAGGAGGTCCCCATCTTGTCTGAATTACATAAAAAGCTTATTATTGACCATATGATATATAAAGGGGGCTACTCACTATCAACCATGCTACTTGTATCAGAGAATACAGACACTTTAGTAGTTACATGTCCTAAATGGTGCAGAGGAGACAGGTGCCCTATCTTCCTGTCTAAGCTCGCCTCTTACTTCCACAATACTCACCGTCAATGCCCTTTCACCAAAGACCACCAAGACCATATCTGCAATTGAGCAAATCGTCTTTATTATTTATTGTAATGTGAGAGGACATATAGCATAGGGTGCCAGTAACTTTTCTATTGCTGTGAAGAGACATCATGATCAAGGAAACTTATAAAAAACAAAGCATTGAATGGGAGACTTTCTTATGGCTTCAGAGGGCGAGTCCCTGACTGTCGTGGTGGGGAGAATGGCAGCAGGAAAGGTGCTGGAGAAGTAGCAGAGAGATCACATCTGATCTGCAGCTGTTAGGAAGAGAGAAAAGACAGAGGAGAGAGAGGGGAGAGAGGAGGGAGGAGAGAGGAGAGAGAGGGAGAGAGAAGGAGAGGGAGAGAGGAGAGAGGGAGAGCAGGAGGGGGCAGACGGTGGATGGGGAGAGAGTGAGAGGGAAGAGTGGGAGGCGGGAGAGGGAATAGAGAGGGGAGAACTACTTGGGAATGACATGCTTCCCAATCCTTTCCAAAAAGTGCCACCAACTGAAGACCAGTCATTTAAATATGTGAGCCAATGGAGCCCATTCTCATTCAAACCAGCAAACACGAAGGACCTGGCAGGATCCTATCACAGAGTCTGGCTCTGTTTATGTTTCCAGCATATTTCATTTTTCTCAACAGCTGAATGATATCCTGGTAAATGTCTATATTTTTATTATCCATTTATCAGCTGGTAGATATCTGGCCTGTTTCCATTTCCTGCCTGCTGTGAATAGAGCAGCAATGAACATAGATGAGCAGTGTCTCCACAGTAGGATATAGAGTCTTTTAGTAATAGCCCCAAGGGTGATATAGCTGGATCATGATGTAGATCTATTTCTAGCTTTTTGAGGAATCTTTACAGTATTTCTATAGTGGTTGTACCAATTTGCACTCCTTCCCACAACAAAGTGTTTCCTTTTTCCCTGCATCCTCACCAGCATCTGTTGTCATCCATTTTTTTTAATCTTGGCCATTTTGATTGGGGTAAGTGGTTTTTTTTTGTATTTTTAAATTTAAATTAGAAACAATCTTACTTTATATATCAATCCCAGTTTCCTCTCCCTCCCATCCTTTCATGCCCTCCATTGATCCCCCATCCCATCCCCCCATCCACTCCCCAGGGAGAATGAGGCCTTCCATGTGGGATCATCAAAATCTGTCTCATCATTTGGGGCAGGGCCTAGACATTCCCCCATGTATCTAGGCTTAGAGTGTATCCCTCCATGGGGGAATGGGCTCCCAAAGTTCACTTGTGCACTAGGGATAAATTCTGGCTCCACCACCAGAGGCCGCATAGACTGCCTAGGCCTTTTAACTGTCACCACATCCAGGGGGCCTAGTTTGGCCCTATGCTGGTTTCCCAGCTGTCTGACTGGGGTCCATGAGCTCCCACTTGCTCAGGTCAGCTGTTTCTGTAGGTTTACCCAGCATGGTCTTGACCCCTTTGTTCATCACTCCTCCCTCTCTACAACTGGATTCCTGGAGTTTGGCTCAGTACTTAGCTGTGGATCACTGCTTCTGCTTCCATCAGTTACTGAATGAAGGTTCTAGGATGGCATATAAGGTAGTCATCAATCTCATAGGGGAAGGACATTTAAGGTAGCCTCTCCACTATTGCTTAGATTATTAGATGGGGGCCAGCCTTGTGAATCTCTGGACATTTCCCTAGTACCAGATTTCTCTTTAAACCTATAATGGCTCTCTCTATTATGGTGTCTCTTTTCTTGCTCTTGCTCTCCTTTATTCTTCCCCCAACTCAATCTTCCTGATCCCTCATGTTTTCCTCCCCCCTCCTCTTTCTCCTCCATCCCTACCCTCCCCCTTCCCCCTCTCCTGTGCTCCCAATTTGTTCAGGATATCTTGTGATTGGGAGTAAGATTTGATTTGCATTTTCCTGATTGCTAAAGATGTTGAACATTTAAAAAAGTGTTTTTCAGTCATTCATATTTGTCTTTGAGAACTTTGTTTAGTTCCAAGTCCCATTTTTAAATTGAGTTGTTTATTTTCTTGATGTTGAGATATTTGAGTTCTTTGTATATTTTAGATGCTAACTCTCTGTCAGATATATATCTGGTAAATATTTTCCCATTATTTAGGCTGCTTTTTCACTTGAAAGATGATTTCCTTTGTTGTACGAAAGCTTTATAGCCTCATGTAGTCCTATTTTTCAGCTGTTGGTATTAATGCCCATGCTATCAGGGTCTTGTTTAGAAAATCTTTAACTATGCCAATGAGTTCATGTATATTTCTACTGTATGACATTGATGTTAACAGGTCTTATGTCAAGGTCTTTGATCTATTTGGAGTTGAGTTTTGTGAGGATGAGAGATAATGACTTATTTTCATTTGGCTATCCATTTTGATCAGCACCAATTGTTGAAGATGCTGTCCTTTTCCCAGGTATATTGTTGGCCTCTTGGAATCAAATGAGATGATTGTAGGAACATGGGTCCCTAGCACCAATAATATAAACCCAGAGACAGATATTGGGGTTCAAGATGAAGATCTGAGAAGCAAAGCAGCCAAGTCACCAGAGAAGTCTTACCTCTACTAAGGCTGGGGAGATCCTGTTCTCAACGTGGCTGGAGACTGATTGCCTAAGACTGAATACCATCTCTGAGACCCTACTCCTGTCTTATATACCTCTCTAGTGCTGGATTAAAGGCATGAGCTCTGTTTCTCTTTTAGATTGATTCACTCTCATGTAGCTCTGGGTAGCCTTGAACTCACAGAGATCCATCTGCCTCTGTATCCTGAGTCCTGGGACTAAAGGTGTATGCCACCACTGCCTGGTCTCTATGGTTGTAGATAGCTTTGCATTTTGATCTCTATGCAAGCTTTATTAGATCATAAACAATATATCACCACATGGGTCCTCAGTTCTATTTCATTTATCAAAGTGTCTGTTTTTATGCCAGTGCCATATAGTTTTTATTACTGTAGCTGCCTGGTGTAACTTTAAACCAGAGCAATGCTATCTTCAGCCATTGCTTTATCATCCAGAATTGTTTTTGTTCTCTGTGTGTGTGTGTGTGTGTGTGTGTGTGTGTTTCAAATAACATTTAAGATTAGTTTTTGTCAACTTTGGTGGTGATTACATTGAGTATGTAAATTTGCTTCTAGTAGAATGGTCATTTTCACAATATTAGTCCTATCAATCCATAAGCATAGAAGGTCTATCCATATTTTGTTATCTTCTTTTTTTTTTTTTTTGGTTTATCAAAGCTTCAGATATCTTATAAAGTTATAAGGTACTCTAGGGATTTAGAGAACAAAAGAGGCTGAGGCAGGGGAATCACAAGTTCAAGGTCAGCCAGAGCTTCATATTTCACTCCGACCTTATAAACAACTAACACCGAGGCATTATCAATGGAGTTCTTCCATAGGCCACGTCTTTAAGGAACGTGTCCGGCAGGACCACAGGCTGCGTCCCAGGCAGAGTGCTCTTAGGTCGGCCTTAGAGGTGCAGGGATATTGGCAGATGCCTGCTCCAGATAGGCCAAGGAGCCCTGAGGGATTTCAGCTGTGCTTCTGGACCAGCGCGTCTTTCCGCTGCAGTTCGCTCCTTAGCTCTGAGACGTCCTCTTTGATAACTTGATCTGGTTTCTGGACAGACAACTGCAACCTTTTTTGTAAGAAAAAACATTCTGTCTGTCTTGCAATGTCCAAAAACTTCTGGATACACTGATCAACACCAGTTCGAATTTCCTCCTGATCAGTTCCATTGACATAATCCTGACTCACAAGGGAGGCAAAGCAAGCCTCGAAAGACGACTCCAGCTCGTCCACCAAAGTGCTGTTAGACGGCCTCGGAGCCCCCGGCGCTGCTTGCAGAAGCGAGGCCTGGCCCGGGAGCCCGGGCGGCGGAGGCGGGGGACCAGGGGGCTGCCCGGAGAACATACCGCCGAGAGACCCCGCCATGTCTGCAATGGCGCGGGGAAACGCCACAGGGCCCCCATATTTTGTTATCTTCTTTGATGTCTTAATACTTTATTGTAAGTTTTATTTATATTTCTTCACTTCTTTAGTGATATTTGTTGTAAAATTTTTTGAAGCTATTTTGACTGGGATTGTGCCTCTGATTTCTTTCTTGCTTTGTTTGTCATTTGTATGTAGAAAGGCTATTGATTTTGTAACCTGGTACTTCTGCTGAATACAATTATACCCTGTGGGAGTTTGTCATGGAATCATTAGAGTTTTTATGTATAGAATTTTGTTATCTGCAAATAAGGATACTTTTATTCTTCTTTTTCTATGTGTATTCCCCTTTCTCATTCACTGTCATATTACACAAGCAAAAACTTCAGGCACTGTATTGGACTGGAATGATGAGAGTGGACATCCTTGTCTTGCTAGTTTATTGAAAATACTTTGAATTTTTCCTCTGTTCAACATGATGTTGGCTGTGTGTTGTGTATTGCCTCTATTATGTTGATATACATTCCCTGGCACCCCTAGATTCTTGGACTTTTATCATGAAGAGATGTAGGGTTTTTGTCAAAGGCCCTTTCTGCATCTACTGAGATGATCACATGGTTTCTGTCCTTGAGTCTGTTTATGTGATGGCTTATGTTTATTGATTTACTATCTTGAGCCATTACAGTATTTCTGTGATGAAGTTCATTTGATCTTGTTGAATAATTTTTGATGTGGTTTTTACTTTGGCTGGGAATTGGAAACATTTAATATTTTTAAAAAATTAGGTGAGTCACACTCAGTATAATTGTAAAGATAATTTTCAATTTAAACATTATCCTTATAGCTGTTGATGTAGTTAAACTTAAGCTTAATACTTGCTCTTTTGAGACTGATTTCTAAAATTTAAGAGCAATATATGTTCCGTGGTATATATCTATGGTCAACTCATTCACAAGGTGTTGGCTCATCCCCAGCATCCTCATCTCCCCCTCCAAAGTAATGTGAGTTGCTTAATGTTGCAAAACATCCCTTTGACATTCAGCAACTACTGTGAATGTAATGAAAGTTGAAAAACTCTTCAGAGTTGGTCAGGGTTTCAAGTGACTCAAAAAACTTGTCACTACTGAGAAATACGTTTATTTTGAGAGAATCTATGACATTTTGGTTCTCTGATAAAGTCAAATCAATTAATGCTGTGTCATAGAATCTGTGTCTATTAATATTGAAGTCAGGGAAGCCCAAAGCCTGTCAGAACCTCAGAGCATGGATGATTTCTGTTTGTAGGCCTTTGGGAAGAAATGGGCAGACTCATTTTCAAACTCAGGTGGTGTTAGCTGTGGAGAGCATTCAGGTTGAAAGTCACACAGGGCCACATCCCACTTGTAACATTTGCAGGGTCCTGTATACCCTCTAGGGTCTAGGATTAGTCCTCTTTTGTTTGAATCAGGACAGCACTTCACTTAGAATCAGAGTTACATGGGTCAAAGGATAGACTCAGAATTGAGTGTTTATTCATCTTTGTCCATCCATTCGAAGAATTATTAGTTAAATAAACCACAGGTTTAGATTCATAGGACAGTAGCCAAAATGCATAGGTAGAAACACCACCACTGGTAAAAATACAAAATCTGCATCAAGGCCCCGACTTCTAAAATAATATGTGAATTTTGGCCAAGTGAAGAATGGTCATATTCTTCTGCAGAGAACCCACTTTCTTTTTAGCTCAAAGTCTGGATGTAGCTAAGAGCTATCCACCCTCAGATGAACAATCAATTTCCTGTTACATTCCCTGATATAATGCCAATTTCTAGTTAATTTGAATAATGTATTATATTATTCATTTAATATATTTTTTCTTTCTTGAGGCTTGGACAGGATAGTCAATTCCATTTTTCCCATGGGTACAGAATCTCCTAAGACGTGAGGTAGGAATCAGATAAAAATATCAGCTGCACTTCTGCTGTCTGACAGCTCTGCTGTCAAAAGAGGATGCCAGATCCCCTAGACCTGGAGTTACAGGTGTTTGTGAGTCTCCTGGTGTAGGTGCTGGGAACCACACCCAGGTCCTCTGGAGAGCATCATGTTCTCTTAACCACTGAGCCTCTCTCCGGCCCCAATTCCAGCAGTCTTTACCTTGCAGGAACCTTGCAATCTCCAATATCAAAAGGAAGTTTCACTCCTTTTGAATGAATGGCTTGATAGGGTTTGATGAGGCTGTGGGAGAATCCTGGAGATGCTGCCTGGGAGGGAATTAAAAGAAGGAAACAGAGCCTGATATCCCTCATTGGAAGTAAGAGAAAGCTGGATTAATTCTTTGTTTTTTCTTCCTACAACCTAAAAGGCAGGATATGAAACTCATTTTCTTATATACATTACGTATTTTTCTGGGCACCAGCTCCCTCCTTATTGCAGTAATAGCACATCTGTAACATGAAACTACAAGACAAGTTCTAACAATAGGAACAACAGGAGAGAGGGATGAGGAAAAACTGGAACCTGTTCAGGAGGTCAAGGGTTGTGGCGAAAGAAGTTCTTCTGATGACTGGCTTTCTCCCAGGAAGGTGGACACATGAAGCCCGTGTCTGGATTCTGAGAGCAATGAAGAGTTGAAGGATTGAGAAGCTCAACACAACAGTACATCTCAGCATTATTAATTTCAGAGGCAAGTCGGGAGCTCACCTTTGACCCATTCATGACAAGGCCTAGCTGATGCTTTGGGCAACAATGGGTGGTAGTCATTATCTGATTTAGAATTCGCGGCTATTAATAACAGCCCATCATATCCTGCCATAGTGAGGTAGCTGGTCCTGGAACCTGTGTATTCTAGTTAGAGGTGCCAGTTAAGATGCGGAGGGGCCTCTGGAAATCACTCAACCTAATGGACCTGGGGCTTCAATTTGTTTCTTAGTTCAGATGGCTCTGTTTTCACACAAATTAGCGAAGTTCTAGGTGTCATCTTTCAACCATTGATCAGAGCTATGATACTGAATGAGTAGGCAGGAAGAAGCTGCGGTGACTGTCTCATGATCCATTCCTCTTTGCAGGTAACAGATGGGCCGAACAGGGAGTGGGGCTAGAGAGAGCTATGTCTCTGTAGAAAGACAAATTGTTCACGTGCTTCCCAGTACATTTTTTGACATATGAAAAGGGGGTTGGGGGAGGGAGCAATTTGGTATTAAGCATGAACCGTATGGCATTTTTTTATGAGGGTGGCCACTATGGCCTTACTATTGAGACTGTGTAGATTTACAGTGCCCACGAACGACAGGTTTGCCTGTGATGTAGGTCATAGCAAAAGAGGCTTTCAACTTAATCACCAATTATGTCAAATTTGTTAAGGACAGTGCCAATGTTTGAGTCAAAGAATGGTCAACCAAGACCGTGTTAAACTTGGACTATAGCCCTTGGCTTCACTGCCCACTAAAGCCATCTCCATAAACAGTACCACCGAAGGTGTATCAGCAGTAATGAATTTGTCCAGGGAAGTCATTAAGTGCCATTACCTTGTATGTAGCTAGTCTTGTTCCTTAGTGTTATATAAAAGAGCCTGAGTTACATGCAAGGGTAATGGCTTCCTTGCCACGGCCCTTTTCAAATAACTGCACTGATGAGGTCACCATGGTTTTGGAAGGCAGTGTAGGGAAGTCACACACTAGGCATGTGTGCATAGAGCTGCTCCATGACCCTGGCATGAAGTGAATCACAGGAGCAATGAGAGTGATACAACTCCAAGGCCAGCAGGAAATCTTGTCAGGATTGGCAGACCTCTTTACTCTCTCAACCCCGCCATAGAAGGTGACAACACAAGGATGCTGGCAATGCTGTGTAGCCTTGCTATTGCAGAGCATGCCTATGTGATGTTTGCCTGATTGTGGAAGTCAAGGCGCTGAATGTCCCCATCACTTTCCCTTCCAACTTGCTGACAACACATTCACAGAGCTGGACTGCAGCATCTGCATCCACATTCCTAGTGGAGAGATGATCTCACATCTAAAGAGAGAACCTATGTTGTCTGGATTTAAGCTCTTGGACCCCACAAGGTCCTTGGGTATCCTAAACCTGCCACGCAGAGTTCTCTTGGTAGTACCACGTTTGGTAGTTTTGGGTGGCCCCTTCCTCGTCTGAGTTGTTGCTATCTGGGGTTTGAAGCTGCTGATCAGGCCCAGTTCCTGGAATCAAGTCAATATCTTCAGATAGGGCAGCCTCTGGGGTCCCACTGGTGGTGGGAATGCTACAACCCAGGACTTCTGTCTACACACCCATCTACTTCCATATCCAAGAGCATTTGCCTTCTCTTTTGGAACATCTGACTCCATGACAGATGGATTTGTCCACATCTATCCCACGATTCCAGTTGAACTTCTCCTCTCTGGGAAGTTCTCCTAAGTTCTTAGACCTGCAGGGACTGCTTGGTTGGTAACCAAAGGATCATCACAACCTTTATTCATGCCTTCCCTGGTGCTTTTTTTTCCTATTCTTTGATGTTTCCTTGGGTTTCCATCCCCTCTTGTTTCAGTCATGGACCTCACAGGCTTCATGGCCTTTTGGGAATCTTTAAATTTTTCATGGTAATATAACCAGAGATTTGATTGTTCAGTTCTGCTTGGTGAAGGAGCTGTGAAAGTCATTTTTTGAACCCATTTTGCAAACCCAAAGTGTCATGCAATGGCCTTAAGCTCTTTGTTGTTGGAACTGTGTGGTAGTTGTCAAAGAAGCTAGGACATACTATTTGTCTCTCTATGTTAGCATTAGGATCTTATGAAAACCAATTTCACACTAGCTCAAACTGGTTATCCAGTTTATAGTTTAGTGTCAGAGCCTCCTAGGTAAAGGAATTGTTACCTTCCTGTTCCTACAATAGTTAGGAATCAATGCACTAATAAGTGGCACAGGTCACTCATGGGAGCACTAGAGCATTCTTGGAGATAATGGTGGAGAAGTTGAGCATGGAAGCAGAGAGAGGGAGAGAGACAAAGAGAAAGATGCAAAGTAAGAAAGACACAGAGAAAAAGACACAC